GTTGAAATGTTCTAAAAAAGAAGAAAGCCAACACTGAATGTCACATTTGCTTAGGTCTAAGACCCTTGTGTGGTAGTTGATGAGGGAGGGAGGGAGGTAAAACCCCAAGCTGAATAGGCCCCCCATAGTTTCCAAGTAATGCAGTAAACAAATCTATGATGCTTGTTGAATAATCTTCCAATAATTGCAGTCATTAAAATCATCACACAATCTACAGTCACCTTCCTTCCTTTGACACACCAGAGTCTTCCCTTTAATTGTCAATGCATTTTTGGCTCAGATAAACAGATCAAGGCAGGCTTAAAATATATGGCCTAGATACATCTAACCGAAGAAAATTAGTTCTGTAGCAAATGTCTGGAGTGTACTTAATAGACTAGGGGTTTTCCATTTCTCCAGGAGACCTTACAGACAAGATGGAGTTGCATCTTCTGCCACCTCTAAATAGCTTTAGTACTTCTGAGATGGAGAGAAGATGAAAGTTCCATTGGCCTATTGAGCCTTTCTGGCTCTTTTATTTGCAAGGGTTGGGCTGGAATGAGGGTGTTCTAGAAGAAATATTAAATGAAAGCTCCATGGAAGTTGTGGGAGTTCCTCAATTTTCAATTAATTTTCTCCATCTATTTGATCTCAAGGCTGGTGCTTTTTAAAATCGAGTATGTGTTAACTATAAAAGATTCCCTTCTAATCAAAAGCTGCATTTCATTTGCACCCACAACGGGCAAACTCCAACTGTGGGAAGGACTCGCAGGTACTCAACAGGCACTCTGGTCTGGACCTCTTCCTGCGCCCCCCTTCATGGCAGGTGACTATGGTACACAGGGCAGCTTCCCTTCCTCTTCTTCCTCTCCTTCAGCTCAAGTTATTACTGTATCCCCCCAACTCCCACACCGTGCTAACCTGATAATCGTTGCTCTAGCGTAGGTCATGCGAATGAAAAGCATAATTAATGGCACAAATGATTCAAAAAGGGAGCCCTGTGAGTTAGCAAATAAATAAATACAGACAAGCAGGAGAACAGGTCAGATATAAGCTTTCTACAGGTTCCTCTCCCTTGCCTCTCCCCTCTTTCTGCCCCCGAGCATCCTGGCGCTGATGGCCGGCTTGGGCACCTGATAGGAGAGCCCAGGCGAGAACCTTCGGTTCCTCCTTCTCCGACGCCCCCCCTCCGGCTCACGCGCTCAAGTCGCCCCAACTCTACCTCACCCCGCCCCCATGCTGTATATCCGCCGCCAGCTCTGCTACTGGCCAAAGCCTCGGGGAGACTGGGCGGCCACCTAATAGTTCAAGTTTTTCAGGAGATAACTGGTCCTCCCCGACCGCACCCCGCTACCTGTGCATCCGCGAGG